TTTTACTATGGGGATATACACTCATCAGTCAAAGAAATGTTGCAGGGTAGCTACGATTCGCCACGAGAAAATTTGGAGTCTGCGCAGAGAGAAAATGAAGATGGGAAACAATGTCCATCAAATTCGATGTTAGGCTCAGCTGCAGTTTCACGATGCTCATGTTTGTTTCCCCGATTTGTGTCTAAAATATGGAATTTCATGTTCATTTATGCCCATGAAATGCTGGGAGATGGACACTTAGATGTAAAACAATGTTAAACCATGAAATTTGAGGATTTTCCCTCAATTCTCAGAGAAACCCATTTCTGTCTCGAAGCTTGGGATATTCCATCGGTCACCCCCATCAGTTCAAAATCTCGAAACGTGGGGGTTTCCATAGGCATGGGGGTACCCCCATGGCTGGATGGTTTCATGGAAAATCCGACAAAACCATGGATGATTTGGAGGTACCATGGATTGGAAACCTCCGTGAATATAGTTCAAATCGTCAAACCGCCATATTTTCGCACGGAACGTCCATGGAATCAATTAATTGTGTTGCTTCAAAGCCGCATTTTTTGTTGAAAAATGTTGGTTGGAAAGTTGGAAGGCTTCCTGTGGCCACATTGCGGATCTTTCAGCGCGCCGTGCAGTGCATTGCGAAGCTGGGCAAGGACAGGTTACGAATCAACGGGGAGATCAACGTTCAATCAAAATGGGGATGGGTTGTAACCCTTTTAATGCCAAAATATATATATATACATATTTTTATATACATATATCTATCTATATATATATACATAATGGGTTTTGGGGTTCACCAGGTTTTAATCAACATTGATCAACCTTTGTCAATCTTAAAACAGGAGCCAAGGCAGCAAAAGCATGGTTTCCACCTCATTCACCAGGGATATTCGACGTTACCCAACTGACATGTGGATCTCACTATGAATCAAGTTCTGATAAATCTTGAGAATTGGTATGTCCGAAAATGAAGATACCCTAAAATACCATCTTTGTTGTTGGGAATACGAGTTTTCACATACCCCATGTTCAGGTAGCGAAAACGCGCACCAACAGAAATCAAAAAAAAGCCTGGCTATATCCGATGTGTGTATATACATATATATATATATCGTTATCCCAGAAGCTAGTGGTCCCCAACAACTGAAGTTGATTAGATTCCAAATATACCGTGACATTCCAGTTACCCGGCCACAATATTGTTTATTACGTATTCATTGTATGCCATTATTTATATATATATATCTCTTTCAGTATATCCACAAAAAGTTCATTGTATCCACAACATACCATGATATTCCATGTTCCAATAGCTACATGTTATACCAATCAAGATATTCCATTTGCCTGTACAAATATATATATATATCCCATTGGTCTATGATTTATTTATCACTTCAGCGCCATTGTTTATACCATTGGCTTTTATGTATTTATATATATATATATTTACCGTTGGCTGATCGTTGGCTTACCATTTATTTATCAGTACATATGTATATACCATTTTACATTGTATCCCCAATATACCATTATATATACATCAGTATATCACATTGGCTTACCATTGGCTTATACAATGTATCCCCAAAAAAAAACATAATATAATACATTGTATCCCCAATATACCGTTATTTATATATATATATACATCAGTATATCACATTGGCTTACCATTGGCTTATACATTGTATCCCAAAAAAAATCCTCATAATATATTACATTGTATCCCCAATACACCGTTATATATATATACGTCAGTATATCACATTGGCTTACCATTGGCTTATACATCGTATCCAAAAAAAAACATGACACATATATATATATATATTATTATTTTTTATCACTATTACTATTATTTTTTATTAGTATTATTATTATCAGTATTATTTGTTTATATGTTTATTATATTTTATTAATTTATTATTATATTATTGTTTTTATATTATTATATTACTATATTTTTTATTTTATTATATTTTTATATTATTATATGTTTATATTATTATATTATTATATTACTATATTTTTATATTTTTATATTATTATATTTTCATTATATTATATTATATTATTTTATTATTATTTTACTATATTTTTATATTATTATTATATTGTTATATTATTATATTATCATATTATTATATTATTATATTATTATATTATTATGTACCGTTATACATTGTATCTCCAATATACCATTATGTGTGTATATATCTATATCAGTATATCCCCAAGATATATCCAGAGTTTGTCATTTTTCAGTGGTTACCAGGATGCCGCCTTGATCTTCCAGCCTTCGCAGCTGGTGCTGCGTGGTGCCGATGATGGGTGCCCTGGATGGCGCGGGATGAATTCCTTAGGAAAATGCCAGGAAATGGAGGTTTCATTGGGAAAAACATTGGAAAATCATGGGAAAATGTGGGAAAATCATGGGAAAATCCTGATTTAGTAAGATTTAGTTTCGTACCTGATGGAGATTTCATGGAATTGTTGGGCGTTGAATGAAACCTGGTTGTAACGGTGATTGATGGCTAAACGAAGCTTCCTTTGCCGCGTCTTGGAGCCTCCCTATCTTTACTTTACTTGGAGTGGCAGAGAGACTTGAAGAAAAAATATGATCAAGAAAAGTGAACAAGTTCTGATCTTTCCAAGACCCCAGCCAAGACCTACCCAGCTACTCTCCTTAATCTTATAGTTTAGTTTGGGAATCCCCAACCCACCAATGCTAAAGTAAAAAAAACATGGTTCATCCCCCGCGAAATAGTATTTATTCAGAAAGTGTTTTCTTTACCACCCAGAATCGCCAACATTTGGTATCTAAACCTATCTAAGGCAGGCTTTGATGATGACACCCAATGTTTCTTGTCGAACTTTTTTTTGAATCGCATGTTTTCTAGTGAGATATCTGAACCTGTGTTTCCATCGACAAAATCACCAACTAGTGGTTCAAAAAAATGCCATTTTGTTGGACCGGTTCTTGAGATGGAAACTGTCAACCCCTCAATAGATCCTGATTGTGAATTGGGGAAATTACCTCCTTTTTAGTGTGAAATCAATTATGATTTAAGAACTTGTACCCCTCTTGAACAGCCTCAGGGTTTAGAAAAATCCTTGCTTAACATGATATAACGCGTAAATCCTTTATTAAATCCCATTATTATCCCATCATCCCATTGTAATCCCATCATCCTGTCCCATGAAATCCCCCCCATTTTTCTTACCCTCCGGTAATTTAAGATAGCTATTGAAGCCATTGCCACTTAGTTCGTTGACATACCTATTAAAAATGATGGTTTTTCCAGTTCGCAAACTGTTAGTTTATCAGAGGGTATCCCTATTAAAATAACCATTTGGGATGGTATACCACATTTCCAGACACACCCACATCTTTTTGATTGAAAATTGTCATTTATATTTGATTTGCCTCTTAAAAATGGTTGGTTTTCCATAGTTTTTTGTATGTTGACCAGGGGTACCAGGCACTCCGCGGCCCTGCACTTCGTCTTCGGCGCCCGTCTCTTCCGCAGCGTCGCCGTCAGCGGCGAGACGAAGGTCGTGGTCGTGGCGCGGCAGCTGCTGCTGCCGCTGAGCGGCGCCACGGGGCCACAAGCGCGGCAGAATACAGAGGGGCTCACGTTGAGAGACCGTGCTGAATGATGGGGATGGGGCCCGGGGATTGGTGATTTTCTATGGCAATCTTGGCGTTCTGCGAATGTGCTGTGAATGGATGGGATGGGGAAATGGATAATTTTTCCAATATGGTAGTAAAATGGTAAAATGACGCTTTTATTTGTTTCCCACTTTTTGCGATGTTCTCCATGTTAATATGTTTCCAATATGGCCATATATTTGATGATGTTCTCCATTTTAATATATGTTCACTTTTTGTGGAAAGTGATGATGGTAAATTGTTGAGGCGAGTGGCCAGACTTAGAGGATGGGGGCTGAAATCCTCAGTTTATGGAAAAGGACCTGTTCCCAATTGGATTTTTGTGGAAGTGGATCATAGCATGCGTTGATTTAATTACTGATGATTTTTGTTGCTAAAATAAGCTTTGGTGGTATCCTCAACAGCCGCAACATTTTATTTTTACAAATCTTTCTGAAGCGTGCTGCGAAGCCAAGCGCCAGAAACACCTCAGCTGGGTTTCCGTGAGTTAAATGGCCGCAAATCCCTGTTGAACCTGACCTGGCTCTGCGCCAAAGCCTCCCAGACCTTCTCCGGAACCTTCTCCGGAACCCTGTTGAACCTGACCTGGCTCTGCACCAAAGCCTCCCGGAACCTTCTCCTGAACCTTCTCCGGAACCCTGTTGAACCTAACCTGGCTCTGCGCCACCCGCACCTTCTCCGGAACCCTTCTCCGGAATCCTGTTGAACCTGACCTGGCTCTGCACCAAAGCCTCCCAGACCTTCTCCGGAACCTTCTCCGGAACCCTTCTCCGAAACCCTGTTGAACCTGACCTGACTCTGCACCAAAGCCTCCCAGACCTTCTCCGGAAGCTTCTCAGGAACCCTGTTGAAGTGAAATAACCTGGCTCTGCACCAAAGCCTCCTTCTCCGGAACCTTCGGGGCCTCCTCCGGCACCTCGTTGAACTTGACCCGGCGCTTGCACCAGTGCACACCGGAGCTATTCTGGGCTGAAGACCGCTGTTGGGGTATAAAATCATTGCAGTTGTGGAGGAAGGTCCTTTGGGTTGGACTGTGGAGAATGAAGGGGGTGCGAAGGTGACAAACAACTGATGAAGGGTTCTGCCAGGTGAGCTCGTGACAGAGCTTTGGTTGGTTCATGGGTGACAAAGATCTAGTCATCTCATTTTCGTAGAATTCCCAGTTGGCTGGAATATTGGACCCATATCCCAGGGGAGTTGTTCCGGGTTAGACCTGAAGGGATGATGGGTAAGAATCGGTAAGCACTTGAAGATCTCAGGGTTTTGTCTGTCTCAACATCATTCAGAGGCTTTGAGATGTTTGCGATATATTTGAAATTAAGATATTACCCCAGATATGACTTGATGTTGTATGAATATCTTAGATATCGCCTATTCTGTTGCCTTTTTTACATGGGCACGGCGCAAGGATTGGCAGGGCAGCGGATCCTCCTGGAATTCTCCAGTCGTGGGGTCAAGGTTCGTCGCTCGGCCAGAAACCGAAATTTGGCAAAAAGTTTGAATATTTATCCAGACCTTAGGGATTTACTCCCAACAAATGTGGAGATTAGTTAATTAATTAAAATAGGGCGCATCAACGACAAAGGTCGGTGATTTGACCATCACTGACCTGTCCAAGCCAAAAAAAATGGATTCAGACTTTGTTCCGTGGGTTCCATCCCCCACCTGTGGATGGGTAGTTCAATCATGTTTAATCCTTTACTTTTTTTGCTATAGATTGATTTTCTGTGAATGATCAAAGATTCAACATGGGGGATCTACTGACTTGAGAGTTGATAGTTGATGGCGAAGTTGATCTCAAACTTTTGTCAGCTGACGATGGATATGAAAACCCACCTTTTGTCTTTACCATTTTGATTGGTAAACCAAGGATATTCCACATCTGACCAGGACATGATATGTTTACCCTCATTGAACATATTCAATAAAGCGTTGATCCATTGGAATCCCGAATCTTCATCGCAATCAAAGTATTTGTGTGACTATACGCTATTACCAAACATTGCATTGATGAAAAAAGGCTCAGTGGGGATGGTTTTATTAAAGTTTCCATTGAAATCTTTTGAAACTTGGCAAAAACATCAGCTAAATCCATTGACACCCCTTTCATCATCACTGTATTTTTCATTTCCACTAACAAACTGTCGAAATGTTCTGCCCAAAATCCATTCCACCCTGATTTTCCTAGGTTTTTCCCATGCTTTTCCCATGGTTTTCCCCGTGTCATGCGAGGTCACGGCGTGCCGTTGCTTGAGACCTTGCCGTTTCTCCCCACAGATCCCGCGGCGGGGCCCCATGCAGCGGCCATGGCGCCCAGTTTGTTGGCCAAAGTCATGCAGCGCCTTGGAAGCCACGGTCACGCCATGAAGATTATCACTGGTTATTTCATGGGAATATCATGGAATATAGTGATTGATTATATGGCATTGAAAGCAGTTTCTAGGTCAATCGGCTGGATGGTCAATGGATGCTTAATGGATGATTAATGGATAATTAATGGATCGTTTACAAGGGCAATCGACTGGATGGGTAGCAACTAATCCGAACTAGTCTCAATTGGTATCCCATTTGACAAGCAGTCCGATTCGTTGTATCAATCGGATTATCTGCGTTCACAAGCTAAGAATTTATGTTTCCCGAATGCGTCGCAAGGGTTCCCGTTTCACTCTGGGGGTCTGGAGGTTGAGGGTGTGTTCGCTCGACGTTGCGTTTACGTTCGCAACCGTTCGCAACCGTTCGCAACCGTCCGCAACCGTCCGCAACCGCTCGCAACCGTCCGCAACCGTTCTCGTGAGGGCCGTATGGCCGTGCCTATGTAGAAAGGGTCATTTTTGGATGTTTCAAACGTCTCGTTGCTTCGTTTCGCGTGGCAGGCGTGGCACTTCGTGACATTCAGACGTTTTTGGTAACGTGTCGAAAGTCATTTTGTGTGGCAGGCGCAATACTTTTGCGACGTTTTCAGAAGACGCGTTGCAGTTTCCGTGGCAGGCACAGCACTTTGGACGTGTTCATCGTCATTTGGCGTGGCAGGCGCAGCACTTCAGACGTGTCTTGTTGCGTGTTTTTTGCAAATCGCATTGGCAGGGCTGCGTCAAGTGGCGACAGGGTTTAGATTTCGTGGCAGGCGTGGCATTTTGTTAGATGTGCTGAAAATTGACGGAAGCCTCGCACGAAGCATTGAATTTTGAGGTAGCAAATTTAGAGGTTCCTAGGAAAACTCGTTGGAAAACGTCGATTCTGGAGCTACACAGTGTCAAAATTGGAGGAAGTCTCGCACGAAATGTTCGTTTTTCTGCGCCCACGTGTCTCGTCTCGAGTCTCTGGTTTTCCTGTGGCGTCGCCGTGTCTATGGGGGAAGCTGCAAAACCTCTCCTTTTTGGAGGTTTCTAAGCCGGTTGTCATGTCGTTTTGCGCGGCAGGTGTGGCACTTTGTGACATTCCAACCTGTTTTATACACTCCACACCCCACACTCCACACTCTACACTCCCAACTCCCCACTTTACACTCCACACTTTACACTTTACACTCCACATTCCACACTTTACACTTTACACTCTACACACTACACTCCACACTTTACACTTTACACTGTACACTGTACACTCCTCTCTCCACACTTCACGCTCCCCACTTTACACTCCACACTCCTTACTTTACACTCCACACTCCACACTACACACTACACTCCACACTCTACACTTTACACTCCACACTTTACACTCCACACTTTACACTCCACACTTTACACTCTACAATTTACACTCTACACTCCACACTTTACACTTTACACTCCTCACACCACACTCCTCACTCTACACATCTCTACACATCTCTACACATCTCTACAAATCTCTAGACATTTCTACACTTTCCACTTTCCACTTTCCACTCCACACTCTACACTTTACACTTCACGCTTTACACTTGGCACTCCACACTCTACACTCTACACTTTACAGATTAAACTCCGCACTCCACACTCCACACTTTACACTCCACACTCTACGCTTTACACTCTACACTTTACACTTTACACTGTACACTCCTCACTTCACACTTTACACTCCATACTTTACACTTTACACTCCAACTCTACACTTTACACTCTACACTCCACACTTTACACTTTACACTGTTCACAACGACGTACAATTTTTTCATCTCATCTGGCCAGCTGGCTCGGCACCCGCCGCTTTAGTCAGCCTACTTTTCGACCCTCCGGAGCCACTAATCATTGGAAAAACATAGTGTTTCGCGACTTTCCTACCTTTTCGCGCACCTGGATCATCTTTCCTCGGAAAATTTCTCTTTTTTGATATTCTTTCTTCTTCCCTTCTCTTCTCTGACTCTTCCCATCTCCTTTTTTCATCTGTCCATGTTGTCGGAAGTTTGACTTCTAAACTTCCTTCGGCTAATAATAATTACCAGAGGTAACGTTAGTACAATGTCATAAACCAACCTACCATTTTCATGTTTTATACCACCCATCTATAGGTTACTCTTAGCTTACCAGAGGGTTAATGCCGCCGCTGCCAGCGGAGGCATTGCATCCCAAATCGCAGCGGCTGCGAGGAGCCTGGAGCGGATGTTGGGATATCCCCCTATGATTTCACAGGCCATTTTCTATTTGATTTTGGGTTTACTGTTTGGCACTCCCACAAAAACCAAATCAAATAGAAGATATTCTGTATAATTTCAAGGAACCATGTCCCAAAATGATGATGCAAAAAAACATATTTCTTGGATATGTAACATCTTCTATTTAAAATTGGTTTCTATTTGATTTTGCCGTAAACTCACCTGAAGTTGCCAAATCTTCACGCCCCCAGGAAGTGACTCTGGGTGCCGCCGTGGCAGAGGGCTTGCGCGTGCAGAGCGAGGACTTGACGGGTGCGGAGGCGAGGACGCCCAGGGCGTGTTTCAGCTTACGAAATGGAGAGGTTGGGGGATCCCCAAATCACCATGCATGGTTGTCGGTCATCCAAGACTTGGATGATTTGAGGGTAGCCCCATGACTTAGGAAACCACGAAATGTCATGAAAGTGGTAGCACCCTCTGGCAATCAAACGTGGCTTGTTGGAAAAGCCCCGCGCCAGCCACAGAGGTTTTCCCATTAACGTGAAAAATCATGGAACTAAATGGTGGACTGCCCAGCCAAGCACGTTTGATTACCGGCGGGAATGTAAACCACCGTTAATATACAGACAAAAATTGGTAAGAAAATTGTCTGCAAAATGTGGTTAATTCAATTAATCAACAAATTGATGTTGCAACATAGAGACAGAAATGGTCCAACATCTGGATTTCCTTGAAAAATGTGCAAAATTGGAAAACAAACTGAGCAAAAAATGGCGATGATGATATGAGCCATCATAATGTGATGACGCATCCCGATTTGCTTGCAAAATTGGGATATAACCATGATAAGATAGGGTTGAATAGGCAAGAAAATGGGATATCATCAACAAAATTAGGGCATAAATGTGATTGAAGTTGGTGTATGAACGACCAAACATATGGCGACATCCGAAAATGATGATTGGCAGGTGGTTGTTAGCCCTTCTTGGTAGTAAGTCCGCTGAATGGGTTTTACCCAAATACTGACCTGCTCTAAGAATGGTTACTAACCAGATACTAAGTCGGATGATCCTTCAAGTAACAATACTGATTTGGCTTCAACTCCATCGATGATTCAATGAAGATTTAACCACCATGAATTGGAGAGAGACTAGTGGCTGATAATCTACAAAAGTATAGATTTGGCAAACGAAAATGGTAGTGAGTTTTTTTTGGTGATAATTTAACCCTCAAACATGTGGATTGCCTGGAAATATCTGGGTAGAGATAAAACGATGGAGCGAATTATCGGGTGGTCAAGAATTTTCAGCCATCGCCATGTGATGAAGGATTTATTAAGAATTGGGCGAATATTATTACAGCAATTAGCAACGGAGGGTTATGTGTTACTGGTGGTGTTTGATGTTCATAAACCAGCTACCAACACTTCTGGGGGCTGGATTTTTTTGCCCATCAATGGGATGGATACAATGCACTGCTGGGTACACCTGGTGAATTGTTCGGTGTTTGACGTTAAGGTTAATAAGCTCTTCGTTTGCACTTCAAATGCCCCAGGAATTACTGTGTGTCATATACCTTTTCAAGTGAGATTTGATATCGCAATAAGAATCAACCTTTCGAAGAAATCTCTAAGGTCAGCCCTGGTCTGTTGGAATCCAAGCCTGCGGCGGAACGAAGCCAGAAAACAATGGCTCTGCACAATGTTGGAAGGTCCAGAAGTCTTTCATCTTGAAAACACGATACTCATCGGTGTGTAGAAAAAAGATTGGATGAATCACTCTGGATTCTGCAACAATTTCATTCCCCCTAGTGTTAAACACCCTCTTTCTATGGTCCCAAATATGTGCAAACCCCTACTAAACCATGGTTTCAGTGGGGTGTGAAAAACATGAACAGGCGATGGGAATAAGTCGTTCCCCAGATCATTCCAGTGATCCGGTTTTGGCAAGGACCTGCTGCACGTTTGATGACATGAAGTGTTGATCCCACAAGGGTCCAAATATCTCCATCTGAGGTTCAACATCACTTGAGTGGTGGGAAAATCAGGCAACCCCAGGAAAATATAGATTGTCAAAATCTGAGGAAGCCCATATTCTACGTAGCTTACCAGCCATGCATCACCTTGCCGCAAGGCTCTTCCCGGGTCCCATCGGACGGAAGTCTTGGTGCAGATGTCCGACCTGGAAGCCGCCGGGCGTCAAAAACCCACCCAGATGGTACCCTGAAATAGCTGGCGAATGGATGTTGATTCCTATATGGTTGGTGGTTTGGAACGTTTTTTATTTTTCATAATGTATGGGACAATCCGTCCCGTTGAGAAATATTTTTCAAGATGGTTATTGCACCACCAACCCGCTACTACATGGTGATAGGTTTTGATCCACAACCATATGTCATGGTGATATGACCACCATTAACCACCGGATATGGAGGTTTCCGAAAATGGGGGTTACCCCCAAATCATCCAGTCGTCATGGATGACCATAGAATAGTATTGAAACCTATGGTGACTTGGAGATTCCCATTTTAACAAACCCCGTATGTCATAGTAATACAACCAACAACCATGGGGATAATCTGAGATTCGCACGCTTAACCATTGATGGCAAGTTTGTGCTCTAGGTGAAATGTCTGTCGGTCCACAAAGCCCACTATAGTTTTATCTACCATAAACCATTGTTATATTTGTTATAACCCAACTTAGCTAACCATGAGATACCACCTTTTACCAATGTTTAAATCTTAGTTGGTCCACTGGTTTTCATCAGCGTTTACTACATCATCTCGACGTGCAATGTGCATTTCGAAATCGCCCACTAGTTGGGGTATCATCATGCTGATTACAAAAGCATCACCTCTGGTTTTTTTCTATTACGGTCGTGTTCGAGTTTGTTGATTTCTTTCCATCTCTTCTTCGATCGGAGTGAACTGGGCATCTTCTTGAGATCATGGCGATAATAGCTGAAGCACACTGACTAGGCAGAGTCCATAAAGTGTTTGCTCTGTTTGGTGCCGATAGACACACAACCAGCACAGGAGTCTTGATTTGTCTTTATTGCGAATGGCTTGAACATCACACGTTGGATTTTGTTTGGTGGTTATCTTAGATCCCTACATACTTCTGTATACCCATAGGAATCGCTACGGTGAAATTAAGCCCAGAAAAAAACGCTCAACAAGACCTCTTTTCCGGTTTTTCTTAGGTTTTCCCATTGTTTTCTCAAATTGTCCCACGGTTTTCTCAAATTACCCCATGGTTTTCTCAAATTTCCCCATGGTTTTCTCAAGTTTTATCAGATTTTCCCCCGCGTTTTCCTTCGCCCACCATGGCCGCCCAGGCGTGTCACCTGGACCCCTCGGGCGGCGAGGTGCGGCTGCTGGGCCGCGGGCTGCGGGACTTCGCCAAGGCCGCGGAGGTCTTCGCCAGGGACTTGGCGCCCCGTTGCGATGAGGTTGGGGAGTTGTTATGGGAATATAATTTGATTGGGATGAAACAATGGGATATGATATAGTAATGATTATAGTGGGCTATGGATATATTGGGGATTATGCGGGATTATTGGGATGATTAGGTTGGGATATATAGTGGGATTATACTGGGATTATGATGATGTTCCATAGCCATTAGGTTTTTCTTGATGGGGATGTCATGGGGATATAGTGGGATTATAACGAGATATCGTGATTATAATGGCATGATAATGGGACTTTGTTCATTCATCCCTATTAGTTGGAAAATTCTATTGGGGATATTTCATGGGATGACAAGGGGAAGACTAATCATAGTTGTCAGGATGGGGATTTGGGGGATGAGAGTCCCACGAAATTCCCATGCAATGCTTTGATTGTAATGGGATTATCATGGAATAGAATAGACCTATGGGGATATAGTCGGATGATCATGGGAGTTTGTTCATAACCAACTGGATGGGTAGTTTTCTGCGGAAAATGACCACCACTACAAGCAGCAAAAGATTACAATGTTTTGTTGGGATTTCATGGGGATTATAATGATATTGTAATGAGAAAAAATTGGAATATAATTAGATATCATGGGATCATCGCGATTATCATGGGAATTTGGTGTGGTATAATGGTATTATAATGAGAATATGTTGGTTGGTTCAGTATCAGCCTCTAGAAACACAAGTGTGGGGCCCCCGTTGTAAGGTAAGGTGAGGCAACATAAACTATAACATGGATGATTGATAATGGTTTTTGACAATTTCTAAGTATTGGGAATATAGCCGCAATGTCATAGTATATATTTTAACTATTGGGAATAAATATGGTTTCTGGTAGATACATCGTTTCTACGGGGTTTATGAACCAACAAAGGTAACTACAGCCCCATGGAAACTATAGTAACTATAGGTTGGTTTAGTCTCGCCCCAACTGTAGATATTATATGGAAATCAACTAGGGCTGATGGCAATTATAACTACAATGCGGGGCCTCCCAGCAACTTGTTGGTTTGGAAATTTCATGAACGAATACTCTAGTTGCAAGCATCATAAACCATAGGGAAACTGGAATTATACACCAACTTACACTTAGGTATCTAGGTGGCCCCACTTTGTAGTTATAAGTGTCAAAAACCCTTTAGTTTCCAACTGCAATTCCCATGAGTTTCTTCACTGACTATGCATGGCCGAAACATAAGGGCCCTTGAGCGTAGTGAAAACAATATAGCGGTGTGCAGCCCGCCATGGCTTGTTAGCCCTGTGTGAATCCAGGCTCCACTATCCAATCCCCCATTTGTCAACTGTGTGCAACCAGTCTTTCAAAGGGGTGAGATCGTATTGGTAGCGTGCCAACGTGATCCCCGTGGTCGCTCTGCATGGCGAGCTCTGAGGGGAGCGAGCTGGAGCAGTTGGACGACTTCCTCGAGCAGGCCGAGGAGGAGATCGTCGATGAAGAGAACGATGGCTATGACCCCGAGGTCGTCATCGACTATGGCTATGGGCACGGTGGAGATGGCGACGATGATTTGGTGCCATCACCATCACCACCGGTTTCTACGCCACCAAGGCTTGGGAGAAATGGACCGAGGACACCATCGAGGCCTCCGTCTTCAAGTGGATCACAACATGGAGGTTCACAAGGTGAAGGTTCTCAACGTGGTGGATCCCGAAAGGGACTGGCCCTGAAGGAGACCAAGCCTGGATCTTCAGGCGGTGACTCGCCATCGAAGACTTCGAAGGCGTCGGCATCTTCACAGAGGAAGCCGAGGGGAAACTTGCCATCGGCACCAACTTTCGATGGCGACAGAAAGAAGGACCCGAAGTGCTTCAAGAAGTATGCCAACAAGGTGGACAGCTACGTGGCCATAGCTGAAAAGATCATAGATGAGTCAGAGATTGGACTACGACTTCATGCAGCTCTTGAGGGTGAAGCAGCAGACTTTCTAGAAGATGTGCCAGTACAAGCATTTGGCCAGAAGGACGGATGACGCGTGCTGCTCAAGGTGTTGCAGGAGAAGTTCGACGAGACCCGGATGAGCAAGGTTGGGTCGGCTATATGAGATCCTTTTTCCAGATGACCATGGACAAGGAGAAGCAGACGACGATGCGCGAGGTGGCCGACCACATGGACAAGAGTGCGAGGCAGTGCAGAGACGCTGGCTTCGAGATGATTCCGGATCTACTTCTACTTCCAGCACACTGGAGCTTCATCAGAACGACACGCCAATTTGTTGCTTCGTACCAATGGCGAGTACGACTGGAGCAAGATGAAGCAGGCCATTGAACTGCTGTATCCGACTGTGATTGCCCGTCCAGCCCAACCTCAAGGACGAGCTGGCCGTGGGAGAGGAGCACACGAGGTACAGAATTCAGACTCATGGTTCTCTGACTGGCCTATGCCTATGGTCGACAACCAGATGGCTGAGTGGATCGAGTACTACGACCCTGTCGAGGCCCTGGCGGTGAACATGGTCTATGAGGATGAGTATGCGGCGATCCCAGAGGGTTTGGCCCGTGAGTTGCATGGTTGCCTGACGACTCACAGGGAGAATCGCCAAAAGTTGGCGAAGGCTGTGCAGGCGCGCGGTTACTTCGTGAAGGGCAAAGGCAAAGGAAAGTCGAAGGACAAGTCCAAAGCTCCTAAAGGAAAGGGGCGTGGGAAAGGCAGTGGCAAAGCTCGCGGCATGAGCTTGGACGAGCTGAAGAAGAACACTGCTTGTGCAGACTGTGGCCAGACCGGCCATTGGCGAGGTGATCAATATTGCCCCCGCCGATCCAACACCACCGTGAAGGAGGAACCAGATCCTGACGCTGAAGAAGAGTGGGACTATGAAGGCTATGAGTGGCACGACGGCTATGAGCACCACTGGTCTGGGTGGACTGACGAGTACTCCTGGCAAGCTGATGACCGCAGTGCCCATGCACTTCAACGTCAACATCAGAAGATCTACAAGATTGGCGATGATGCGGCGACGATCAACAAGCATGCTGATCAACTGCGTCGGAAGGCACGGAAGTTGGACTCCACCTTGACGGTTGAGCCGGCTGCACCATCACAGAGATCCTCTTCACAGGTGACCAAGTCTGACTACTTCCTGGACAAGTCCATCGTGGAGGACAACACCTACGGCTATGTCAAGAACATCTTGGAGGCGAGCAAAGCATCATCATCTTCCGGCAGTGCTGGGCCAACAGCTGTGGCTTCAGCGCAACGACAACTTGGACCTGACAAGACCTATGATGAAGTGGGATCAGTTTGGCAACTTCTCCAGGACAAGTCCGAGAAGCCGGACGTGGACAAGATGTGCGTGAAGCAGAGCTACACCCTGCGCAAGGTGGACCTTGACCTCTCCGACGACGAGCTCCTTCCGGACATTGACATCGTGCGGGGCGCTTGCAGTTTGGCTCGACGAAAGCCGACGGTGGAAGCAGGTAGATGCTATCTCACCATCGACACTGCGTGTGAGAACACAGTGTGTGGCTCCATCTACATGGACTTCCTTGCCACCAAGCTCAAGGAGCAGAACTTCATGGCGCTGCAGCAGCCAGAGCGCGAGCAGTATTGCTTTGGCCCGGGGAAGCCTCAGACATCAACGACGAGATTGTCGGTGCCCATCGGGATTGGAGGAGTTCCGATCATCATCAGAACTTCCCTCGTCAGAGAGGACAAGCTGGCTGGTGGACAAGGACCCAACGGCATTCCTTTTTTGGCTGGGCAAGACTGGCTGCTGATGATGAAGGCTGTGATTGTTCGCCCCTGCTTGGCATTGACGTCCCAATCCAGGTGGATGTGTCTGGGCATCTCGTCATTGCCATCGACGAGTACCCCAAGAATGGTTGGCCCCCTGGATTGACGACGACCAGCTTGGATCTTTACCCAGAAGCGGTGTTTGCTGCTGGCCGTCACCGACCTTGTGAAGATGGTGACCAGCCAGACGCCAAGCGAGCCAAGAAAAAGGAGCGCCAGAGTTCAACTCCGAGTGCATCAACATCCAAGACATACTTCATCCCCAACTTCATCTATGAGCCCAATCTAGACACCATGGACACTGATATCACGAAGGGACCTTGCAGTGTTCCAGCTGATTACTGGGAATATGACCTCAAGAAAGGCATTGTCATTCGGCATCACTGCAGGCCGAGATGTTCGCGCTTTCACCCAGAAGAAGCCCACGACAGGCCCGACACTTCGGATTGGATGTCACATCGGGTGACATGTGTGGCTGGGACTTCACCTGTTTTGGATGATTGGCGATGCCCTTTTGTGGACTGGGCGGACATGTTTTTTCATGAAACATTCAGATGTGAAAGCACCACTCCCATCACCACCAATTTTTGGAGTTGCGGTGACATTTGAAGATGGCATGAAGAAGAAGGTTGACACATCCAGTTTGTCACCTTCCACCCATGACAAGATCATCCACAAGTTTGACCTGACCTCCAAGAACCCCGTTTTCGAACATGCCCAAACCATGGCTCAGCAACGTTTTGTTGTTCCTGAAGGGCAATTTGGTTCAAAACCCCAAGATCAACGAGATGAACCGCACCCCTCAGCGGACTTCAAGGACCAGTCCTTTGAATCCATGGCGGCGCATGGTGGTCAAGCTCAACTACCTGTTGCAGATGGCCTTCACCCAATGCAGCGCGCAGCTGATGGTGCGAGAGATGAAGCACGGAGCCCCGGCGCTGACAAGCTACGCTGTGGCGATGGCGAAGACCGAGGTGCACCAAATTCGAAAGGAGACATCCTCCATGGTCCTAACACCTGGGACGACAGCCCGGGCGAAGACAACCCAGATCCTGCACCAAGGGTATCCAGTACCCACGGATCTATGCCTACACGAAGCCGAGCATGCGAGAAAGATCGGGAACAAGCACGGTCGCTTCCTGGAGTGCACAGCATGCGGCCTGGTGAAGAAGGCCCTGGAGACCGACTACGGGGTCCCCATCACCAAGGAGCGCATCCCGATCTACAGACTACAACACGGAATTCGAAGTCATCCCGGAGGGAAAGTGGCAGCAGTCATGCGAAGCACGCAGGCCTATTCAGCAAACTTGGCCATGTGCTATTCACTCTCATTGCCGTCCAGTTCGGCGCAAGCCTCCAGGACTTCGGCAAGGAGGACTTTGGGAACAACATCTACGAGGAGCATGGGAGAAACGTGGAAAGCTCCACACTCTTCCCGAGACTCTCAGACCTGGGAAGAAGTGGGCATGGACGATACGATGGAGGACGCATAAATGAAGAGCCCATGCAAGACGATTCCCTTTTTGGGGATGGTCCGAACATCTTGAAGAGTTGCGTGAGAAAAAGGTTAAAACACTCTGCCCGAAGAGCTCTTCAGAACAGCGAGGCAGCCCGTGAAATTGTGGCTGAACGTGCTGCATCTTCAAGGTGGCCAAGAAGACCCTTCACCTACGACATTGTCGAGATCTTTGGACTTCGATGGTGAGCATACGTGCAGCCCACCACTGGAACTTGAAGGTCTTGCAGCCGATAGACATTCGAGTTGGTGTGGACCTACCCCAACGAGGAGAACGACGTTGGTTGCTGCGCAAGATGGACAAGTGGCGGCCAAGACTGGCCCTGGTGGAATACCCATGCACACAATGGTCAATTTTGCAACGGAATGTCAACTACCGAGATGATCCTCAAGCTCTTGAACGTCTTCAAGAACGAGATCAACCCTTCCTGAAGCTCACCGAGGACATCTTCCATGGACAAGTTCGATGAGGTGGACATGCAATGACTGAGAATCCCGCTACGGCAGACAGCCAACATCAGCCACCAATACAACGGCTGAGGGATACCTTCTATGAGACGACAAGCTGCATGTGCCGCTTCGGTATGGTTGGACGCAAGGGCCTGCCTTTTCTGAAGAGGGTGAGGTTGATTGCCATTCACAAGAAGTTCACCGACGCACTGGACCTTCAGTGCCAACGTGATCATCAGCACGAGAAGGCCGAAGACTCCAACACATCACTCTCAGCACAGTATCCTCCCAAGCTGGCGGACACACCATATGCAAGGCCTACTTGGACATTGTGGCTGAGGAGGACTTTGGAGCGCATCACAGCTGGGATCCTATGGAACCACGAGGAGCTCACTATGTCGACGTCAACAAGGAGGAGCCGAGGTGGAGACCTCTTTTTGACGAGGCGGCCGAGATCCTCGCCCGGAAGGTGCAGAAGGACCTGTTCATCGACCCCCGCATTGGCAAATTGCCAATGTGCAGGTGTCCCATCAACCAAAAGCCAAGAGGATTAGACCAGGACTTGAGAAGTGCCACAGAGCATCCATCTTACTACAAAACGACGACACCATTTTCATGCTCAGGCACCTCGTTTTGTTCCACCAGGTCGCTATGGTATGGCCTGGTGATCCAAAAGACCCTTCACCAGCGCAACCTCCGGCTCTACAACCAGTTCCTGTTGAAGGAGATGTCGTGGTGGAGCATTTGCAAGAGGCAATGGAAGATCAACGCCTTGTACGACAAGATTATGGCTCAGGTGAGTGCTGGTTTCAAGGACCTCCTCTATACTGCAAGAACAGAAGAAGCTGGCGCCTAGTATCGTCAGGCTTCACCGAGGCCTGGGACATCCTCGCACTGAGGACTTCGTGCACGCATTGGTGCAGCACGGCAAGATGGACCCTGAGTGCATCAACCTGGCAAGGCGTTTGAAGTGCGCCACCTGCGAGAGAACTCGCAAGCCATTACCACCGAGACCAGCAAGCTTCAAGGCGATGGGATGCTTCAATGACAAGATCTGCCTGGACTATGTGTTCCTCCATGACTCTGAGGGGACCAAGCACAACTACATCCACATCCTGGAACCTGCAAGAGGCTACAACCTCTTCATTTGGGTACCTTCCAGACTACCTGGCGACGCTCTACAGGCTTTTCAAGACAGCTGTGCTATGTGGGCTGGATACCCGAAGAAGATTTGGATGGATCGAGATGGATCCTTTGGCGGCATCTTCGCTGAGACTTTGGAGAAGGTGTCAGATGTGGACTATAGCGCTGCTGAAGCGGCAGAATGGCGAGGTTGAAGCGTTCAACAGGGCATTTCGCTTCACAGCTGAGCGCTTGATCGATGAGAAGCAGTTGGTGGGCTACCACGACATGAAGCAGCTGGGAATCATTGTGGCCGCCGCCATGAACGATAAAGTCAGAACTTGCGGTGCATCCGCCAACATGTGGCTCTGTGGCAAGAGTCCCCAGATGCCCTACGACTTGTTGGATAGAGAAGGACAGGTAGAAGCACTACAAGGCCGAGGTCCTGACGAAGAACTACGTCTACGTCAATATGTCCGTGCACAAGCTGATGCCTTGATAGCCCAGTACAAGATCGACGAAGCACTCCGCACAGCGGTGAACAGGAAAGGCAGACCTTCCAGGTTGACATATGAGCCAGGAGAACTTGTGGCTTTCTGGCGCAACATCAAGAAGAAGAAGGGCAAGCTGCTTCAACCAGGATGGTATCGGGGCACTATCATCGGACCCCACAAGGGCACTGATGAGGGCAACCAGAACAACTACTGGGTGACCTCCATCGGCAAGCTCATCTTGGTGTCAAAGGAGCAACTCCGCCCGACCTATGGCACCAAACGATGGCGCATTGAGGAGGAGGAGTTGCAGGACTTCCTGAACGTCGACTACGACGAGTACGACGTTACCATCACTTCATACGAGTGATGCAACACAACCACATCCCGAATCACCGCTTGCTGGACGAGCACCTCAAGCACAACGAGCACCAGGCACACCTGTTGGAGATGTTTTGAGGCGCAAGCCACCAGTGAGAGTGACCCCACCTGAGTCACTTGAAATCGAGCTTGAACCAAAACGGTTCCGAGCAGAAGAACCAGCCGGATCTGAACAGCATGAAGACGAGCGTGGAGCTATGGTGATCGACAACTTGGTTCCGTGCTATCACTACGAGAAGTTTGCTGTCCCCTTCATCAGGAACGTCTACATCACGCGCAAGGACCAGAAGGCCCTGGAGAGAGAGAACTGTTCCATATGATTCCTGATGAACAACGAGCTGGATACGCCGATGCCTTGGCGAAGGAGTGGCAGACTTGGTGCAAGTATCAGGCAGTTGCAGTCCTTGACACCGAGGATTCTGCCCACGTTTTGGCACATGTGAGTCCCGAGAGGATTCTTGCGACAAGGGTGTGCTACCGGAACAAGAACGCTGCAATCCCTTGGATGCCCATCAAGTATAAGGCCAGGATCGTTTGCAGAGGAGATCGAGACCCTGACCTGCTGACATTGAGACGGGACGCCCCAACATTGGCCCGTTTGTCCTTGATGCTGATTTGTCAGCTGGCGGCATCCATGGTGGATTGGTTCATGTTCAACGCGGACATCACCGGAGCTTTTCTTCAAGGTGATCAATCACTAGCTAGCCGTCGCGAGCCTTTGTATCTACGTCAACCTCGCGAAGGACTACCCGGTCTTCATCGAGATCAACTGATGTTGATAGTTCGAGGAATCGTTGGACTAGCCAACTCCCCGAGATTGTTTTGGCGCCATCTACGTGACAGCCTTCTACAGCTTGGCTTCCGACAGAGCATGTTGGACAAGGCCCTCTTCCTCTACTACAAGAACGGACAGCTGATCTTAGCGATTGGAGTCCACGTGGGTGACCTCATCGGCACAGGCAAACCTGGAGATGCGGATGAGATCCTCAAGAAGATCCGTGAGACATTTGACTTCGGCGCTTGGGCCGACGACAGAGAGGAGAAGGTCCTTGAGTATGGCGGTATAAGCAGATCACACGTCAAGGTGGTGTGGTCCGACTTTCCCAGAAGAAGTTCATCCAGGCTACTACTTTGTCTTGTTTGCCAAAGTGGAGGACATCGGCACCAGGTGCAGCATTGATGCTGCACGAGATGACGGAGATGAGGAGTGTCGGTGGCTTCTTACACTGGCTTGTGGGGCAAACGCGCCCTGACCTTGCTCCTGGGACATCATTGTATATGTCCAGACAGCTTACGGTCAACAGCTTGGTGAACCTGAACAAACTTCTTCGAGAAGCAAAACAATCAGATGAATGGAGCTTAACCTTCCACAAGGTAAGCCTCGATGTGCCAAGATCGTGGTCTACAGCGACAGCTCTTGGGCGAACGCACATGAGATGAAGTCTCAAGCAGGCTTCTGCGTTTTCATTGCCGGCGAGAACGTGGACACTCTGGCAGGAGATGCAGCCAGTCTGTTGGACTGGAGATCCCACAGAATCAAGCGGCAATGTGGCTCGACGCTTGCGGCTGAGACGATGGCGATGGATGCTGGAATGGATGCAGGCATTTTCTGCCGTGAGTTGCTGGCCGAGATGCTCATCGAGAGCTACGTGCCAACTACTTCATCCAGGTCATTGGTGTCACAGACTGCCGGAGCCTCTACGACCTTTTGGTGAAGGACGGGCAACCGGCGACCACTCAGGAGAAGAGATTGACCATAGACATCAATGGGCTGAAAGAAGCCGCGAACGAGTTTGACCCCGAAGGGGAAAGGCTCAAAGAGACCTTTCGTTGGGTGGCTACGGAAAGCCAAGTCGCCGACCACCTGACTAAGGTGAAACCAGCTCACCAGTTGCGAGATCTCTTGGACCGCGGTTGGTTGAAGCTTGTGAGGATCGAAACCGAGGTTCTCACCAATTTTAGATTTTGGGGAGTGCAATTCCCATGAGTTTCTTCACTGACTATCATGGCCGCAAAAAGGCCCTTGAGCGTAGTGAAAACAATATAGCGGTGTGCAGCCCGCCATGACTTGTTAGTCCTGTGTGAATCCAGGCTCCACTATCCAATCCCCCATTTGTCAACTGTGTGCAACCAGTCTTTCAAAGGCGTGAGATCGCACCAACAACTTTAAACCCATGAAACCAATGAATTATTGGTCCCACTCCATGATGTCCTCGGTATGTTTACCCCATGTTTGTTAGTTAAAACAGCAGTTTCCATGGCCAACCATGATGGCATCACATCATTATCCCATTAAACCCCACTAAATCTCTACATGTTTCCTAAACTTCCCATTAAGTGTTCGTAAATCCTCCATGATAACCCAATTTTTGCGATATTTCAGATGAGGTTGGATTACCCATTTTTTAATATGGTTGAACTGATCCCCGTATATCTAATCTTGTTCATCCAATCCACTGGATAATCCCATGAATATCCCACTAGTATATTCCATTAGTACTCGATGACCCGTTATCATTATAAAATATCCCATTAATCCAAAGTACATCCCATTAATATCGAATTATCAGATTATAATCTTATTAGATTATCAGAATATTAGGTTGAATTTGAATTGTCAAATGGGTGTCCAGTAAATCTCCGCTTTTTTGTGCTGAAACCTCCCATGAAAATTGCTGGTGAATCTGCCGTTAAAACCCCATCTAAATTGGATATTAACCCGTGAATCCAAATAATGCTGGATTATCCATTTTTATATATACATATATACATACATTATGTATTTATTTTATTTGTTTATTTCTTTATTTAGCTACTTATTTGTTTTAATTGATTTATTTATTTGATTTGTTGATTTATATACAAATATATATATATGTATGACTCTCCCAGGACAGCCTGGGCGTCCTCGATGGCTCCGCCCTGTTGGAGCTCCGCTTCGGCGCGGCGTCGGGCTCCGTGCTCTGCAGCCTGGCGATGGCCGCGGAGGGCGTGGCCCGGGAGATACAGAGCTTTCGCGCCGTGTTCAGCGTGGCCATCCGGGATGCTTGGGACGTAGGGGAAAGCCAGTTTTGGGGGCCTAGACATGGGAAAATGAATGGGAATTATAGGATTTAAGTAGCAAAAAGTTGCAAAATGGTGGTTTTCATGGATGTTTCATGGTTATTTTTTCTGTGCTTCATAAGTTTTCAGTGGTTCTCATAGGTTTTTTAGGTTTCTTGGGTTGCTGGTGACTTGGGGGACGACGCCGGTTGATTCCCATGAGAATGTTTTTGAATGATCATCTAATGGGGATATACTTTGATAAGGACCTCACTGCGACGTCACTGGAATGATGGGAATTGGATTGGGGTAACTATCCCATACAATGATTGGAATATTAGGCTAATACAATGCTTAAGTTTTGGTACGAATCTTATATCCTGCATATAAGATGTTTAATCTATACCAATGGTGGGGATCACGTTTGGGTTGGTTATGGCTGAAACTATTAGTGGTTGATAGGATTTATGGGGGATGCTGGGTCTTGAAGGTTTTTAGCACTGCAGTTACCGAAATGATCTGGGGATCAGGGAGGTTGGAGCATCGGAAGAATTTGTGTGTTGAAACCACAATTTTTGTCTCATTTTTTCAAAAATGTTCCAGTTGATATGATTTTAAGAGTGTCTTTCCTTTTACCTTTCTGTTTCTGTCTCTTCCCTTCTCCCTTTCTGTGGTGTTTTTGTTTTTTGCCAATTAAACCATCGGTTTTTCATGATTTCCCCTTTTGTGTTGGTCTGAAAATGCTGGATGCCCAAAATTTGACATGTTCATAGTGGAAATGATGGTGATTTTGGTCGTGTTTTTCCCTTATTTTGACACACCCAACTTGGATAGTTCGTTATGTTTTCTATTACCCCATGATCCGATTTTTCTACGGCTAAACCTACATTTGGCCTGAGGAAAGCTCTGGCAGCCTCCCGCCCGCTCCAACGCCTGCGCCCTCTGCCCCCGCCAGCGCGGCGTCGCGACGCCCGCAGCCCCGGCAGGGAGCCAAGAGGAGGGCGGTGGAAGCCACCTTGGAGGTGGGGCTGGATTGAGAGAATGGTGACAGTGGATTTAACACAGTGGATCAACATTGCAATAGTACATACTACACTTTAGTGGATAAACATTATAATAGTGGATAATTGTATTATAGCATTATAAATCCGATCATGTATCACTGTGGATGCAATGGATATAACGGAAATCATGGTATACTGTATCTCCTTAGTTTTAGTGGATAATGGATCAATGGTGATACCCTCTGGTCGTTTGAGAGTTTGCCATGGAAAATTGCCATTTTTGATATCATCTAAAAATGTGCCAACTTCCCACCCATAGCTATGCTAAGGTGCTAGCTAGGTGGTAATGGGTATAAACAGTTAACCACAATGAGAATAAAATGTGGCGATTGATGGGATGTATAACCAGCAATCTGATATTTAAGTGGCCATTCGGGGGTGTGCCCCATTTTCAATTGCACCCATTTTGGAGGTTTTAGTCATGGTGGTATGGGAAGACAATGGTAGTATTGGGGACATCAAATGGGATTCTATCGAAACGGCCCACATAGTTGCTAAGTTGTTTCAGGAGTGGCTTAACGGATGGATTTATGCATAGTGTGATGAGTGAAACTAAAACCAACTTGTAACTGGCAGCCCACCTTGTAGAAAATGCGGACTTGAGCCATCCAGAAATATGGGTTTGACCCTTTTGACCTCTCTAGGATTGGGATCTCTAAAGATGTGGATTTATCGCCCAATATTGGAAATAGTACTGTAATAATGAAGGGTTGAAATTAATGCTACACAGCGGTACAGAATGATCGCGATAGGAAACAAATAGAAACAAAACGTTGGTCACTTTAGGCCACCATCGAATCAGCACTGCCAGCATGTTCGAAATAGTCATCTCTGTCCAAATGTACCAAAACGTCATGCTGCCATTATTTATCTATGTATGAGTATTAATATATATATATAAATAAATAAATAAATAAATGTTTGTGAATATATATTATATATTATATATATATACATATACATATAAATCCATGTCACACATTCCCCATCCATTTGGTCCCAGGACTTCGACGCCTTCCCCGAGCACAGCCAGCGCCCCGTGATCGACCTCACCCAGCTCTCCAGCGCACCTGCAGCGCCTGCGCCGGTGCCCGCAGTGCCCAGGGCGAGCCAAGGCGAGTTGCCGCTCTTCACAGCGCAGCAAAAGGCGCAAATGGCGACCCAACTCTCCACGCAGCTCCCATCGGTGCCACCATCAATGCCGCCTCCAACGGTGCCAGCCACGCCACTGCCATCGCAGAACGGCTCCCAAGAGGTAGGCACTGGCAGCTGGTGGCAAGGTCGCGCCACTCCACCAGCCCAGGTCATGGCCTCCTTATCTCGCCCCGCGGTGTCGGCCTCGCCCGTGCAGCCTGGGGTCAGAAACGTTGGAAATGCGGTGCTGGCGTCCCACCTGGAAAATACCAGGGATGTGTTGGATAGCGATGATGAATTGATTGGAGCAGATCCAGATGAAATCGCATTTGCGCGAGGTGATCAAGAGGAAGAAGCTCCCGATTGGTTTGACTGTGAGAAATTATGGTAGCTTTAGGATGTGATGTCGAGCTCGACTTCCGTTTCACCAGCACAGAGGCCTCACTTAGGGGTGACACGAGTGCTCTCTGAGAAAAGGACTTTGTGTTGGAGGTTGGGCAAAAGAAACAGACCCATTGCATTGGTTCATATCCGTTTCTCTAATCGAATTTTGGACATTTCGGGCTTAAATGGGCTGAAGTTGCCATGATCCTCTCTAGATTAATGGGGCGTGGAACAGACGGCACCCATTCTTCAAGTGGTTCGGCCCAGTTCGGCACAGATCACAGTTGTTCTTGGTGTCAATTTGACGTTACGACCTGTCGGGACATGCATTTTAATTCGGGTTGTCAACAAAATTTTTGCAGATGAAGAGCTAAAGGATGGTTGCTTGCAGTCAAGCAGCTCTAGAGTGTTTGGGTGTGTCTGACAATGGGTTCTGACACGTTCTTTTTTTTATAGGGATCATGATTAATCATAATGATTAACCATCATTAACCATATCATTAACAATACCATTAACTATATCATTAACAATATCACTAACCATATCGTTAACCATCATTCATCATCATCATCAACCATCATTCACCATCATTATTAACCATCATTCACCATCCTTAACCATCATTCACCATCCTTAACCATGATTAACCAATGGTTTTGTTGGCTTTTCCCCACAGATCCCCGCCATCGACACCGAGGACTGCTCAGGGCATGGCACCTGCTTTCTGGGCACCTGCAGGTCGCAGCTGCTGGGTTTCGTTGGCGAAATTCTGACGGATTTAGATATGGGGATTTCCATAAATGGAGGTACCCCAATAGCTGGATGGTTTATAAGGAAAAATCCTACTAAAATGATTTGGGGGTACCCCTATTTCAACCCTCATATGTTGTACTATCCAAAATATTGGAGATTAACCTCAATTTATGGATTCTAGGGAGAAACGTGAGAAACATCATGGGAGACTGTCACCCACCGGTTGAACCGCGGCGCCAGGTGTGAGAACGGCTGGGCCGGTGTGGCATGCCAGCAGTACGTGCCTCCACCCGGTGCCTTGGGGGCGTGGCTCGGCGCCAACTTTACGTTGTTTGCTATAATGTGGGTAAAACAATGGCAGCGAAAGCTCAAATGCCAAATTACACCACAATGGTACAGCACTTTTTACGCACACTGCAGCTGCCGATGGCCATATACATGCTCGACTACTACCTGCCAATGCTCAATCCTAACGACGGATATAACGAAACTGGTCTCACTATGCAGAGTGCAGGTCCAGTCCTCGATGAGTGGCAAGCCATACAGCTCTCCTACATGTTTAAGGGCAGCGAATTTGGCCACTGGAAAGCGAGTGGAGGTAAAGATGCTTTTGCCTTTCGACACCCTAGCCTTGAACAAGCGGCAGTGTGGCAGCTCCTTGAAAGTGAAGCCCATCACCATAAAGTTGATCCAATTGGCACCCATCATTAGTACCCACTTTCCCATCAAAACAATCATAAACCATCCCCCAGTCATCACCATTTTTATCGGTGGTATAAACTTACCATTCCCAGCAAAATGGGTGGTTTATGGCATTGCTTTACCCACATTGAATGGAAAATAACCAGAACCGGCAAAGGATTATTTGCGTGGACTATGATTGACCATATGGTTAATAAGCATAGTTATCATCAGTTTATAAATGGGATAAGCCACTTAAGGGACTTACTAGGCTTACTAATCACTTACGATTCGTGGGATGATCCTCCAAGTATGATGAATAGTTGGTGAATAGTTGGTTAATATGGCTCAATGCTTGAGAATTGTTAAATTATAAAAGGGTATAACCACTGTGAGTTGGGATATAACAAACCCCCCTTTTGACATCCTTTTTTGAGTATGGTTAAACATCCACGTAGTTCACTTAGTTCACTAAGTGGATGTATAACCGCTTCGCCAGGGTCAACCAGCAACCAAATGGCTGAATGCGGATATGATTCATGGAGGTTTCATGGGAATATGTTCATGGATAGTAATCTTGGTATTTTTGTATATATTTATAAATAGGTATATTATATAGTATTTTGAGGATGAGGATATAACTAATGTATTTTCATGGATAATCTGGGCAAACCAACTGGATGGAGAGTTTGATAGGATAGATTCACCTAACTAGCTACTGTGTTTGATCTTGGGATCTGAGATTCACCATGCATGTACCCCTAAATCTAACCCGGAACCCAAGAATGGCCAGAACCAATCGGAACGGAATCTTCCGGAACTTATTTTTGGGTGCCATGTAATTGACAAGGTTAGATGAGGAGATCATTGAAGCCGGATGCGGGGACTTAATTATATGGGGACCTAAGCAACCATGATGTGTTGGTGTCAATGAATGCGGATCAGATTTAGCTGAAGATTGGGGGCTAAGCATCCAAAATATGGGATTTATCCTACATACTGCTCGAGTAACTGGGCAGACCTTTCTTTAGATGATAATGCTCAATCAAAATTTGTGCGGCGAGTTCCTCAACGGGTACTGTACACCTCCATGTCCTGCATGTCGCAGTTCCCGGAGCTCGTCACCAAAAAATGGACATCAAGCATCAAGATATGAGATTGAATCGAGAAAAAATTGTTTGATTTACATCTTGCTAAAACTCTAGGTTACTGTAGCCACAAGTTTGATTATTCCCAGACACTGTTAGCTTTCCGCATATGGTTCGTGGTGTCGTTCTCCTGCATATTCCATTTCTAAATTTGTATGATCCCAATGGACTTTCAGATCTTTTTGGCCCAGTTGATTTAAAACCGCACATTCAGTGTTTGTTTCCTGGAGTCACTAGCCTATCAGAGGGTATCAACCATTAATGATGGCTTAAACCATGGGATTTTAGGGTACCTAATGTTCATAAAAACCCGCATATGAATGTCTTGAAACTATGATGATACCAGATTTGGGTTTACTGCTATACTCGATTATCGGTCATTATGGCCTACATAGCTATGGACGACTGTGAAAGGTATGTTCAGGAAATGGCACAGCTCGTATCAGCAGCTCAAGTTGATCAATCCATTGACGTCTTTTTTGAGTGACCAGTCTGCAGTCTCCATGGATGAGGGTTAATGATATGCGTGTTTGGTACCTAAAAATGTTCCGAAAATCCCAACATCCACAGAAAAACATAATAATCCTCATTTGTTTGCCATAAATTGGTGGTAAATCTCAGATTTTCAGTCTGGAGAATTTTAGAGATACTTGAATGCAAACCATAATTTTTGTTGGGCTCCAGCTGTGAACTGAGGATTCCTCCCGCCTTGATCCCGGCAGCACCTGGAATGTATCTTGATTCGGCACGACGGCCATGGTGGATCTTAGCTGATTTTTCCATTTTGTTTCATGATGGTTATATGATGGTTGTGTGGTGGCTATATGATGGATATGATTAATGTTGGATGATGATGATGATGATGATGATAGGCTTTGGCGAGGTTTGCCAAAGCTCGCATTGTGAGATACTCAACCGATCCAAAGATTTGGGTAAACCCTCAGCATATGGTGTTCAATTCATGGGCAGATTGTGGCAGCTTCACGGCGCTTTACCATCAACGGTTAGTGATGGGAATCACCCAAATAATGAGTTTCCTGGCTTGGGAATCACAATAGTTTGCTCACATTGATGGGACAACATGAAGTCTCTCTGAAACTGTTGATGCACAGCAACTGATGGCCACAACATGGTGACACAAGGGATGGCACATCCATAAGCCCAGTGGTTGCCAAATCTAGGAGAGGAGCCATGATGGCCTTTCAGAAAAAAGGTGCAATGCGAATGCAACCCACATGGATGATGATGTGAGCTCTTCGACTCAAATCCTGATAAGAACTGATGTCATTTGCTACTAAATGGCGCTCCCAATGATCAACAGCCCAGGGGTTATTGATTTAGTTGACGTTACAGCACCGATGGTCAATCCCAAAGTTGAGACCATTCTGCTTGAATACCCACGCACGACAAGCGCTTGGAATCATAAGTGGTTCCTTCATCCATGGGTCCACGTGGAGTAAACATCCCTAACATCCCATTTAAAGAGTTGCGTGGTTATCCATATGTATATGTATATATATATACATATACATATACATGTACATAGATGTATATACATGTGTAAATATATATATATATACTGTACATAGAATATGTCCCATGGATAACCTGTATAAACCATAATACAATAAGCAGTCGTGATTGCCAAAAAAGGGATAGTCGGCTTCGCCCCTGAGGCAAGGGGATCCGATGCCTGCTGCCTTGTTGGGCGTAAGCAGCAAGGCGAGATTGGGTTGCCACAAGCCAGCCATTTACAAATGGGACGTTTATGGAATATCTATGGAATATCTATGGAATATCTATCTATCTTGCTGAATTATAGGGTTGTCATGCAGATCTCGATTTTGATGTTTTTTTTTGCAGATGAGTTTTGCCAAAGATCCCAGAAATTAAACTGGTGTGAAACTCCTGGGCCTCCCATTGACAGGGACCCGGCATGCCCTTGTTCAATGCTGTTGGATTCCAATGAGAAATACCCTAACCACAAATTCAGAATCATAATCACTTCATATGTTGCAGTTTCCCTAATTTGAAAGTGTCTATAGGTTTTTTGGGATTCCCTTTCCGTCCCGTGGTAAAGCAGGACGGCACTCGGAAGAGGGGGATCCAGCTGGGATGAATGATTCACAGCATGCTTTGTTCGCCCATTTCAATGGGATTCGTTGGTGAAAATCACTTTTTGGGAATGTGATAAACCCAAGAATACATCATCCTAAAAATCACCAAAAATGTATCAACTCTACGAGGCCAAAGTGGAGGTGAAAAATGTATTGCGGTATCCACATGAACATGTTCAAAAATGTCCAGCTGATTGATGATTACATGGAGCTATACTATCCTGAACTATCCTGTATATGTTGTGGAAATCTTGGAATTACACTGGGAATCTCCATCCAAACCATAAGTGATACCACCATGCCGCGCAGGCAGCGTCACCAGCAGCACCAAGCTGTCTCTTGGAGATGATGGATGTTGGTACCCCACTTGACCAATACCCATGTCTTTTCGATTTTGAAGTTCTTTGTCACCAGCTTTTAATGCAGAATCACGGCTATTTCATCACCAGATAATTTGATTTTCAACCAAATCTCATCTGTAGGTATGGTTTCAACTACATACTAGTATGTGTATATATATATACATATGTCTATCTATCTAATCTAACCTAATCTAATCTAATCTATCTATCTATAAACATGTTTTCCCACAAAAGGACCCCTGGCCCGAGGCAACGCTCCGCACGGCCGCTGGAGCGACGACGTGGGCGTGTGCATCTGCCAGGCGCCCTTTCACGGCGAGTCCTGCGAAGAGAAGCATTGCACCTCGAAAGTCTGCGGTGATCCGCTGGGTGAAAAAAGGAGAGGAAAAGGAAGCTGGAAATGTCCATGGAATGTCCATGGAATGTCCTAAATATACCTGTATATAAATGTGTATACACCATGCATTTTTCTATAGTAGACAAGCGGAAATGTATTAGAGGTCTGCAATTTAAGACATATCAACAAGTCAAAGGGGTAGATTGGAGGTAATTTGGCAGTATTGGTGAGAGGAGTCATGTATAGCCTTTTTGGATCTGTGAGAATAAGTTAGTTAAATTCATTGTGACCCATACATATTTTGGAGTTTGTCCCCATAGATGGGATTCCAGGCTTTGGTCGCCATAAAGATCGCCAGGAACGAAGGAATTAATGATAGTCAGGTAGCATCTCCCGCGCTACCAATGGTTTTAAGGGGCCTGACTGGACTTGAAGCCACTAACGCCACTAGGCCACTAGACGGGCGTGCAGGTCAGCAAGATAACGGCCATTGTTATGAAACGTGTTGTTCCCAGATGTTCATCAATCAAAGATTTGTCAATTCCGGGCTTAGATGCTGCGAATGTCGGCATGGTTCCAAAACCAAACAGCAACAGCTGGTACATGAAGTCAGCCCAGAACCATAAACCATGCCCATTCATGCCCAGTCTTATTCGTACTCACAATAGGTTAGAAGAAAAACCTATTTTTATGTATACATCTATGAGAAATCAGTGGAGCAAAACCATCCACTGCAGACATCGGTCAAATTTTTACCATCCCCGAGATGTGCGGCGTGAGGTCCGGATTGGGATGGCAGTGAAGGAGGCCACCATCGTTCCCAGGTGATGGTGTCTGAAAATAACCGCCAATTCATGGCTATTTGGGGATCATGCTGATTAGCCATGAAATTTGGGGTACCCTGTGTTCAAAGCCATGTGTTTAGTGAATACCGACATGATTTGCTCAGGGATTAGCCAACAAAAATCGGGATCTAATAACTTGGTGGGGATACAATGGGATATAGAACACAGGATTTGATAGGTGGCTGTGGCTGGATTTACTACAAATTTATGATTGTTTTCCTTGAGAAAATGAGGTGTCAAAGCATGAAAATAGGAGGTACAAGAGAAGCCCTAATATACCATCAGGGATATCTTCAGATATTGCTTACACATCTTCAAAAAGTATCCCCCAATTTACAAAATGACTTTATCCAATGACTTACCATGTGGGGCATATGATGAAGGCTTTGTGATTTTGTTTACCCCGCACTCCTGGGATGGGAGGCAGATTCTAAGCTGTCAATTCAGGTGATGTTTACTGTGCAAAGATTGCACAAAACATATTCTAATGACTCAGTTTCGGGCTGACTTCATGATGGTTTTTCACTAGCATGGTATAAGGATTGATAGATGGTTCGATTTGGGCTATTAAAACATTACCTCAAGACTATGGTTGTTGGTATTGGGTTTGCAAATAAGTACACACCCCATTCCTTTCATGATTTCGGCAAGATGATTCTCCTTGAGAAGAACAAACGCTTGCACGCCTGGATCTACAGTTAGCGGTTTACAGGGGAAAACCTTCATCCAGAGGGGCTTCAGAAGCTTGCAAAGCTCTAGAGGCTTTCAGCAAGCGGAGTGCAAGTTTATTCTGACTGAGTTGTCTCTTTGGACGAATCGACCAGGTGCTGAGTGCATTGCGAGTTTGGCTTGACTGTTCGCAGTGAATCAGCCGCAGAGATGATGGGTGACAATTGATGACTTGGACAGTGTCGAGTGTGACCCTGAAGGTTAGGGACTTGTGATTTATTTGTTCCGACCTCTTGCAAGGATATATCCGTATTATAGTATTATATAGATATATGTATATTTTTCTGCATATAGTTATATGTCTAATAATATATATATATATAATTAATTAAATAATTAATTACATTGATAATTATTTGAATAATTACATGTATAATTAAATATATATAATTACATCTTTAATTATATAATTAGATCATTACATGTATAATTATATATGTAATTATATTTATAATTATATATATATACACATTATTATATATTCATGATTGTATGTATATATATATAATAGTATTAATAGTATATCTCACCGTATCCAACCATATACCTATTTTTTACGTTCCGTGCTCGCGTCGCGTCTCCAGACGCGCCAGGCAAAGAGTGTAGTGGAAATGGCGTTTGTCAACAAGGGCGCCTCGGCTCTGTGACAGTTGGGAATTGTCCCATGCTTTAACAAACACACGGAACTTAATATACAGTACTTGATCTTAATTGTTTATTCTGGTTAATTGGGAACTTTCTTCATTGTTAGTTGTCCCATTGTATTGTACTGATCAAATATATGGGAACTTGTATCTAATATCTAATCCTGTCTAATATGGTTGTGTGGTTTCGTATGTTCTATATCGTTATTATAGATGGGAACGTAATCATATGCTTTAATGGGAAGATAGCAATCTATATATATATATATGCTGGGAACGTCATATGGGAACTCTTGTGGTACATGGTAGTAATATGTTTTTTTTCTAAGTTCCCAATGATATTAAAGGTTATTATATGGGGACATGGCCACCCTCAAAGGTGAACCTCAAACAATAGATGGTTGACAAACGGCTCTTGGGATAATTGAATTCCCATGACAGTTGGATGCCTTGGGAATGACAGTTAGATCTGGATATCTTAAACTTCTTAAAACCATTCGAAGATGGAAATATAACTAATCATAGTCAGGTGATATTGACCGTTCAAATCCACTGAATGGAAATATGACGTGATCAAAAAGCAGGATGAGGATACATTCAATAAATAACGGACCCTTGGGTGTGGACATGATTACGTGCTTCTAGCCCCATTTGCCATCTTTTGACAGATGCCTGGACTTATAATCAGAACTACCCCATTAGACTGGGGATGTAACCACTGCAAATATAACCATACTGGTATGTATATGAAGCAATAAACGAGGATGCAACCAACCTCTAGAATGATGTGTTTTTGATGGGTCGATAGCTATGGCATCAATGGCATCACCAGGTTTCCAGCCGCGTCCCAGGAAATGTTTTTGCTTGCCAGGGTCAGCAGCCTCAGGACGTGGCGAGGTCGTAGGTTCTCATCCCGTTTTCATCGCCTTTTTTCTCCGAGTTTCAACAAAATCTTCAGCTGAATGCATTTTCCTTGCATTTTCCGTGTTTTGAAATCTAGCATTTACAAAGCCAAGGGTGGAAAAAACACGTCCATTCTGGGGAAAAAATCCTTTCAGCAAATCTAAGGTGGATGTGACACATGACTCGACGGGACTTGGGCCGGCCACCACCGTCCAAGGTTTGGCCTGGCCAATCAATCCTCAGCGGAGAACATTTGCCGCTGGGAAAGAATTGGAAGGTGATCCGTGCAATTCCAACCAGAAACTATCAGAAATTGCTGAGATATCTGTAACCTTCACCCAACTGATGCTTAGGTGGACCCAGTTGCAGAGACACCATGCGATTCCATGACATGTATGTTTTGGTTGAAATAACTCAGGGAATACCTGCTACCACAGTCCGGACTGAGTTTGGGTGAACTCACAAAATGGAATTGAAGCAACAAAAATTTCAGCGTGACCATGCTCATGTTGAAACCAACCAAAAAACAAATGATTAAACCCATACTGGTTGGTTCAAACCCCATGTTTGGTTCGTAAGTCACATCTCTTTTGCTGTTAAACTCCCATTTGTTGGCGTGATCAAAGTTTCATGTGCATTCATAAATCCCAATTTCCAATGTCAAAACCATGATTTTTTATCTTTAAAACCCCAGTGTTGATTGTTAACCCCCTTTTTTTGGTTGATGAAAATCCATATGTTTGGTGCTCAAGGCCCTCTTTTTGTTGGTTTTTGGATGGCTTCACTCCCTACCCATATGGAGGTTTCCGTAGATAAAGGGTACCCCTTTGCATCATCCAACAGGAATTTTCCATGAAACCAACCAGCGAGCTTGGGATACCCCATGGCCATGGAAAGCAAAGGTGCTGACGTGGTCTGTCCTGCGGACTGCGGGGCGCATGGCAGCTGCGAAGACGGGCAGTGCCTTGGATGTTTAGCGGCATCGTTTCCCCATCAAAAATGGTGGTGTAAAGTGGTTTTGTTTAATGGGTTATTGGAGATTGGAGATTTTACCTAGATTTTCTAGGGATTTAATGGAACTTAGTGGTATCTTAAAGTTTTTAGTGGAATTTCATGGGGCGATAGTTGGATATAAGAGTGATATCACTATGACAAGTGATATATAAATAAATGGATTACCCCGCTATTTCATGTGGTATTACCAATTGGGACTATGGGATTCTGATAATGAAGATTTAGTGTGATATTTTTCATGCGGATTGTGATGGGGTATCAGGGAATAACCAAAAATATGATCGGTATGGTATAGCCAGCTAATCTCAAATGATCATGAATTCCACTAGACCCCACCAAATCCCCAGTTTTCATGGTTAAACTCACCAATACTGCTGTGTCGATCAAATTATAACCACCAATTCTTGGTTGATATTTGGGGCATAGAATAAACACCATTAGAATGGGGAGCCTCAATGGAAATATGAATGGGACCAACAAAAGGGTCGGTTAATCAACAAAAAAGGAGTTGAAACGAATAGAGATGGGGACCCAAGAGTAACATTAGGATTGTAGCACCAAAAAATCAGAATAGGATCAAGAAAAGTGAGATTTACCTGTTCGAAGTCTCACGCAGAACCCCAAGCCGTTTCAATTTTCACCATGAACATCCTTTTTCCCAGCATTTTATTTGCGGTTCGTTGGTCGCTCTTGTCAGTTTTCAGCAAGGTACTCAACAAAACTAGGGGAACAAGTTTTCAGGAGATCGGAAGAAATCACCAAGAATGATAGATGACATAAAACTGGTTTCATGCAACCACCATTAAACCACAATGAAATCATAATTTAATCACCACTAAATCCCATCAAGCCATGTTCCATCTTTAAAAAAGCCTATTGGGGGATGATTCCAAGCTTATCTCCTGGTCAGGTGCCGCTGCGAGCCTGGCTGGCAGGCAGAAAAATCCTTCAGCAAAGCTGTGGAGACCTTGATTTTTGCTATGCTATTGATATCTAATGTGGGATTCACCCAATGCCATAGTCAACATCCTCAACCAAACATCCATATAAATAGATGGGTGCTAGTTCTACCCGCCTCAAATGGTAGGTTTCTGGCATTGGGCTTGCCACATTATTGTGTTCCGAAATCATATTCTGACTGTTTATTAACCCTCATTGTGTTGCTGCTATATTTCGTCGCTCTTCAGAGTTGCTCTCCACAGGGCTCCACTTGCCGAGAGCCGCAGTGTGAAGATGAGTGTAATGGGTGGCTTGGCTACCAAACATTGGGGTTACAGGTAGATAACTATTGAGCAAAAACTGTGAGTACGTCGTGTAGTTTACAGCTATTGGTATACAACTATTGATTAGCCAATTGGCATAAGCCTAGTTGACTATAGATGTATAACCAACACCACTAGGATCTATGGCAGGTATATCTATCATAAATTGGGTTTATTAACAAACTTGTATTTGGTGACCAACAGAGTCTGATCCAAGTAGGTCTGACAATGCAGCTTTAAAGTCCCAAAATCTTGCGTTTGTATTACCATATGGTGATACCCACATGAATGTTGATGAATGCCCCATTTTCTGGTGTCCCGTGTGGCGGTCGAACCGCTTTGGTACTGAAAGAACGGGAGATGAACTAATATTCAGGAGGTCTTCTGGTGATAATCTCCAACGCAATCGGGTCATATAATTGATAATTACGTTCCAATCATCCGATTCTTGTTGGTGATACTCCCGTTACTTCACACCAAATTGCTTCTAAATCTTCCCAAGTTACCAGTTGAAAGGAGCAGCAATTTCACCGAATTGACGGTTTCCTGTCAATTTACCATAAATAATCCACCTAGGTAGATGAAGATCATTTGCTTTGCCCACTTACTCATTGGTTTCTTCTGAATTTACCATCAAATTTAGGTATGTCCCCATATTTGTATCATTGCCCTGGTTTCAGGAATAAAATAACCGGAAATTCCTGTATTTGATGGTAAGAACCATGGTTTCCTGTAGATTCTCCCTCAAACCAATCCTAAGATTTGTACCTTCATCGATCGATTGAGGCATGGCCTTTGCATCTTCCCCCAGCCGGGTCTTCCTGGGGCCTGCCGCTGCGAGTCAGACGCCTCAGTGGCAGCAAAAATCTTGATTTCAAGGAGTTTTTGCAGAATGGGTTGTGGAATCTGGATGAATCTAGAACGTAGGAACCAGGTGGATACAGGTTCACGAACCATTGACTTCTCTTGATAAAACCATCAAACTGAAGGGCACCGGGAACATCCGGGAACATCAACCGGCTTCAGGGAAGACTACTTGCCTCCAGCTTGTGCAGAACGTCGACAAGAGGTGGGGCAGGGCCAACACCGTGAAGGAACGATGCAGCGGCACAACCCGTTGCACGATTTCTTGGGGTGACCCTCTGCTTCGGAGTTTAGCATCCTGCTTTCCTTTTTCTTTAAATGCAGCATGCTAGAGTTGCTAGGCCTTGGCCCCAAGTTTACATTTAGGTGTAATGTGTTCGTCTGGCTTTTCCTTTTGTGGTTGGTTTGTTTGGGTTCAACGGATGTTTCCAATCCAGCCCATTGGCCGTTTGTCAGTAGCTGTCGTGGCTCAAGATGTTGGAAACGACATGGCCGTCGACATAGCCACTTTGATGGGTATCGATGGTGCAACTGTGGCGTCAGGAAATTGCTTACTTTACAAAGGATGTTTCGGGCTGGGAGGTTTCAAAATTTGTATATTCAGAGGATGGATTTTTTCCACAATGGTTGGAAGTCATCTTTTAGGTCTTGAGGTTGGCCCTTCTTATCTCTCAAGTGTTCTTGTGGGTAATCATGGCCCGGCCAAAAATGATTCTGACAACAGAGTCTCCTCTACCAGCGGATCCAAAACTACGCCGATTTCCCAAAAAAATGTTGCGGCATCCATTCCATTGCTTGAATATGTTTCGCCAAAAAGCTGGAGGGTTTGATATGCACATCCAAACTGTTGATTCTAAGATCTACTTGAGGGTTTTCCATGGTTGTCCATCAGTTGTTTCCATAGCTGTCGATGTTTCCAAAGATGCAGATTTGGAGCCAAGGTTCGATCCAGGTGCCAAGCCAGTCACTCAAGGCCGAGCAAAGTCGTGGGCTGTGCGATATTTAGAACCGATAACCCCATTTTAGTAACCATTTATATATATATATATATATACATATGATCATTAACCTTATAGAACTGATAATAACCATTTTAGCTTGTTTTTGTTGATTATTGTTGTAATGACCAATAATATTATCGATGTCGACCCTATCTATGATGTTGATTATTATCCAGAGACTCCTATCCAGTGGTGAGTTGGAGAATGACCATGGATATTTCATGATATGTCGTTAGGATGGTTTTCTCAAGCGTAATACATAATGATGATTCATTAGCGAATAGCTATTGTAATTGAGAAAGATTTACCCTATCTATCATTTGTCTGATGATTATCTTGGTAAATCCTGGTAACAAAAACGAACCTGGTTGATTATTGGGGAATCCACTATGGTAAACCCCTGGTACATCAACAGAGGATGCTATTCTCGCTTTTCATTGGATCATCATGTGATCTCCCAATGACTTGCCAAGAATGGGCTGCTTACCATCGCCAACAGGAGGTTTATGGCAGTGGGTTTATCTTTGATCCCCTCCAGTATGGTTAACATCTTGCAAGTGCGAGGTATCCCATAAACTTCAAAAGTTGGTTTGCGACATTAACCATCTACCGCTATGATCGAAAACACACACCTGGATGTATCAAATCTGTTCATTTTGCAATCCCAACCAACAGGGAGGCTGATTTTTATATAGGTCAGTTTTGATGAATACAACCAGCACTTGGTGAGACTTGGTGATGAGAAATACGCCTAGTACTGCGAACTTCGAGGTGGATTTGAAGATGACCGGCATTTGAAAGATGTTTGGAGAGGGATCTGAGCATATCTTGGTATAGTTTGATCGTTTACAAATACTCAGCTTCAGGATTTATGAGATGGCCAGCAGCGATTGGACTATGCGATACTCCATCAACACCATACCATTGAGCAGTCTTGAAACTCCATTGTTTGTTGGGATTGGAAATGATTCAATATTACAAACTATTGCTTGGAATGATGATACACGGAGATAATTCCAATTGACGTTGATATTTTTTGAGTTGAAACCCCAATGGATGATTGGTGAACACTAGGTACAACTCTTATTGGCTGACTTCCCTATTGAATGTCAATCCCAAGTACCCCCAATCTGAATTGAAATCCATCTCACATATACCCAAAGGATAGTATCCCAAATGTCCTTGGTTACCATGGGGGAAACCTTTACATCGATGTGGAAAACCCATGGTTTCCTCGGAAAATGATGGTCCATCGCCCAGGCGCTGGCTGGCCGCAGCTTGTGTAGCTTGCATTGCCTGGATACTGGGCTGGGGAATGATCCAGCCATGAAAACCAGAGGGCCAGAGGGCATGAAAAGTGGTGATTTTTCACTAGAGAATGGGGATAAAATGGAATGAACATACTTTGACTATACAACATAGCATAAAGATCTGAACAACTTTCGGAATTTGGATGAGTCCACCGAAGCTTTTGTTGTCGGTGTTGCAGAAGTGTTCACAAGTCCTCGTTGCATTCAGAATGGTTGCAGTGAGGCTGCCGGAAGACCAGTTCCAATGGTTTTGAGACTCGTGGGTGGTAGATGTTTGGCGGCATTCCCTGTGCCTGTTGCCTTCGGAAGCAACCGATTTGTGGGAGTAAAGCTGAAGCGCAGCAAGCTGAATCCTCTCCCTAGGATCAAGTAAATATTTGGATGGACCAACTGGCTGCATGTTCCATCATTAGAGGCAACATTCCCTAAATTATAAAAACCACATGTTTTTATAGTTGAATTCATAGTCAAATCGCTCAAATCCCCATGTTTCATGATTAACTTACATCCTTTTTTTTTTTGACCCGCTAATCCCCAGGTTTGTCATTGTGAAACCCCTTTCCCGTCACCCAGCTGAGGAGATGTCATTTTTCTGCGCTGAGCTTCGCTCGCGTGCGCATGACGGTGGGTGAAGCATGGCGACAGCTGAAACTGCAACCGACCTCCTCCAAGGATGCGTGGTGCAGATAGGATATATGGAGGTTTCGTAAAATGGGGGTACCCCAAAATGGATGGTTTGTAATGGAAAATCCTATTAAAATGGATGATTTTGGGTGTACCCCCATGTTTGGAAAGCCCTATATGGATATATATGATCGAATACCAAAATAGCTGGAACTTACGGATGTTCACGGGCCCGTCCTAGTTTTAATATCCCCATGATGTGAACCAACAAAAAATTGGTAAAACTAACCTGCTCATGGGGATATGATTGGGAAAAAATGGAATATGATAGAATTGAGATATGTATATATATATATGGAATATAATATGTTATTTATTTAAATATGAGATATAGAACCAAATGATGAACTGATGACTGCTGGGTTTGCCCAAAAATGGTGGAGACCCAGAAATTACAATTCTAGGTTGAAAGTCGATGATTGAGCAAGAATAACAATGTGTCTGAAAATGCGAAAATATGGTGTGGGGCCCCAATGCATCGCCATTTGTTTGACCAGCAATACGATGATTTTTTACAGATGGAATTTAGGTGATTGTAACCGTAACCTATTTCTGGGCAAACCCACACAAGCTGATTTTTTGTGTGCTGGTGTCAAAATGCTGTTACGAAAAACTTTGTAATCAACGGTCCAAACCGTCTCAAAATGATTTACCCCCAACAAATGGATGGTTCAATGCTGAAAATTGTTGTTTTGCAGGGCCTACATCGCAATTTTGAGCCAGGAGCAGATCAAGAAAGCCTTCAAGGAGCGCATCAGGCGACGGAGACTGATAACATGATATCAAGATTGGAAAGGTGGAGACATGCACGTTCCCTCTGTTATAGATATCTGAGGTGATTTGAAGATACCTTTGGAACATACCCCAAGCCCTCCAACACCTCGAATGAAAGGAATCATTTGATAAAAGCCCTCACCATGCCATGGGGTATGCTTCAGAGGTCTGTTGGACATGCCTAAGAAGCCATTTTTAATATACGTGTCCATCTCAAGTGTATGCATGGTGGCACCCATTTTGTTGCAGATAGGTATCAAGATTTCTCTTTCTCTCTCTCTCTATAGTTGTGATGCGCCTGTCACAGAAGTAAGCCAGATTTCTGGCTGTGTTCCCACCAGGCAAGTTCACCCAGATGTAACTGGAGAGGATGGAACCATGCTTCGCAAGGTGTGGTGTCTCAAGCGTGGCTTCAAACTCTTTGGGTTGAATTTCCTCAATCACATTTTTCAAAATAAACAACTGAGTGTGTTCCGTTTGTTGATTAAAATGACCCAGCATGATCGAGCAACTATTCGATGTTGATGTTGAATCTGAAAAAAACACTGATCAAGTGCCTTCGTTCTTACTCATGAACTGCTTGCCACATCTAACCTTCGTGGCAAAGGTGCAAGACGCCTACCAGATACTGGAAGAATTGCGAGATCCAACCATTTACGACGCTTCTTCAGAGGATTCTTGGGCTGCAGAGGGATCAAGAGAGCTTGTCAAAAGGTCGAAAGCATGCAATGCAGCTATGAAAACCGTGTGTTGTAACAAAACAGGTCCCTTCAAGTCATTGCGAGCAAATCATCATGCAGAAAAGCACGAACTCTACCTGGACTTCTGGCCCCAAAAAACAGAATCATGTCGAGTTGTCCTGGTGACCCCTCATTTTGCAAGGGGACCCAATGGGGACCCAATGGGGGCCCAATGGGGGCCCAAGAACTTTTCACCGATGACCCGTGACCCTCAGGACGGGCTGCCGCACTGGGCCGCTGGACTGCTGGAGGGCATCGAATGGAGTTCCGACTGCCCCAGCTATGCGGAGTTTCTGCGGAAGCCCGACAACAAGGCGTCCAAGTTCACCCGTTCACCCGGCAACCCATGGGAAGTTCACGTGGCTTCCAGATGGTTCCAGGGTGGCAATCCTTTTGGTGCGTTTTGTGGGTAAACCTTGGCTTGGTCTGCTGATGGCTTCATGTTCAGCCATTTTCAGGGAGGAATTCGCAATATCCTGCTAGATAAGGAACTTTTTGTGGGTATCTGGGATGAGCCATCGTTATTCGTTTGATCCCATTTCTGATAGATTTTTGATAGTGATATATTCCTCTTGTCCCACCAAATTGCTGAAACAGCCTCCATTTCACATCCATCATCCCATCCACATCACAATTTCTCAGTTTCCCCGATCCATGGAGAAATATAACCTGTAAATCTCACTTTGTTGCAGAAATCTCCTGAGATACCCCTGACAAATTTAAGTGATTTATATCACCTTCGATGGCGCTAAAATCATCACCAGACTCCGATCCAGGCCTTGGCAGTGGGCGAGATCAGCCAGCGCACCGGCATTCGACCGTGGGCTGCTGCCTGGGGCAAGTTTTCCCAACAGGAGCGGATCCCCGAATGTGATCTGTGAAGATCTGTAAAAAAAGTCTGTTTTTTCCGGCCAAAATCTTAGAAAACTCTGGGGGAAGATGATGGAAGATGGTTTTATTCCAAGTGTTCAAAGGTCCATTTCTTTGACGCAAAAGCAGTAACGTTCTCAACGGTTGACGAGAATCCAGACCAGATTCTTGCCATGTTCAGAATTCCCTTATTTAACTCATGCCCAAAATATTGGTCATCCAAAATGGTATCATTCTACATTAGCTGGTAGTTGAACACCCACAGCATCCCACAGCTAATTCCGGCAGATATCAACTACCAATATCAGTTGATTCATCCATCATAGTACATTAGTTTCAGTGTTGGTACTTCAAATCTCAGCAAATTATATTAATTTGGTAGAGAATACACACCAACTACAAGGTTCGACAACTATGAGCTTAATCAACCCAAGACAGCGCCAAAACTGGAGAGAAACCTGGCAGTGAAATGGTCGAGAAGTAACACAAGTTGTGTATTGGACCTTCACGGGTTGTTGGTGCCAGTACAGGACGCTAACTCAGAAGCCCTGCGTCACTCGGATGCCGTTTGTCCAGGGCTGGGGTGACATTTGGTGTTGAATGGTTGGCATGGCAAAACCGATCACAAAATCTTTGTGGATTGGCAAAAGATCCATTGACCAACTAGCAACAATTGAGAAAGAATCGAAACCAGGCGCAACATTTGAAGTTGGTGAAACCAGCCACTTTAGGCCTTTTTGGTTTCCAAGAATATCCTTTGATTTCCACCCTCCTCACTTGGACGTGCAGCTAATAAGTGGTTTTATTGAGGATATTCCAAATATCACTATCGTCTTTGCCATTCCTGGGATGCCCACACGAACCGGTAAAGAACTGGCAAAATATGCTGAACCAATGGTTTTTCCTACCACCATTTCATGTGTGATCGTCGTTTAGGCGTTTGCCGTCAGATGGGCGTGAAGTGTCGCCTGGTCTACGTGGGCAGCGGCACCGCCCGCGTGCGAAGCGTGGGCTTAGACAGTCGATCCACTGAGGAGGTTGGGACAGTTTGGCCATCGAAAATGGAGGTTTTTCCCGGCAAAGGGCTGAGTTTTAGCATGAAAATGGAGGTTTTACTGAAATCTTGGGACTTGACCATTGAAAATGTTGATGAATGTGAATCTTGGACCGGCAAGTGCATGGGTCAAGTTGAAACTACAACTACACTACCATAATTAGGATCCACTAAGGTTAGTACAAGATGATTTCTCTTGGGGGACACAAATGTCATGACCTGAAGACATGTCATTCTTCGGTATCAAAGCTTTGCAACTGTGGCAAGATGTTGATCCATTGGCTCAAAGTTGGGATCCGAATGGACCGGACCTGAAGAACTTTACTCTGGAACCCTTCAAGATGTCCGGCTTTGTGACATGGCTCGGGTATATGGGAAAGTAATATTCTAAACCATCAGATTTTGTGTACCCATAAATTCCACATTCCATCCGATTTTAGAGTCACCATTAAGCTTCCATTTACCCCAGATGACCACTACTGACCATTACTGACCATTCTTGGCCATTCTGAACTCATTGAATTAGCCCAATTATGGCATTGGCTTTACCACATTACCCCAGATGGGATGTCTACATTGTTATCCCTCTCGTCCATTTTTTGATACATCCTATTGAATCACCATTGGAGCCCCATTAAACCCCATTGAATTCACGTTAAACATCGTTAAACTCAATTGAATCCGATATGTATAGCTTTTATCACCATTGAATCACCATGTTTCCAGGAGAAGAGTTGGTGGCGAGATCAAGTGATGAAATCCGGCGACCTGCCGGGCTTCGGCTGGATGCCCACCATTGATCCCTCCAAGGCTGCCACCGGGTCGCTTCATGTTCATAAAAAGGCTGGCTTTAACCAACATGGAAAAATGATTGGTTTTTTCAAACAAAATATAGCAGTGGTAAACTATGGTTCTGTCATAAGTTAAATTCATAGCCATTTTGATGAGAAAATAGTAGCTTCACCGGCTGAAAATCACTAGTGTTGCAGAGGGTATTTGAGCCTGGTCATAGGTTGGCTCTTGCAGGCGTTTGAACATAATATCTGAACATGTCTGGGTAAATTTCAGGTGTTGGAGTATGATGTGTATAAATAATGTCACCCCGGGGTGCACCAAACCGCCATCAATTTTATCTGAAGTTTCACTATTTGCGGACCCAATTGATAGACTGAAGGGTTATATTACTTATATTCCTAGGTTCACATTGGTGATAATTTCACTATCCTTGGGCACAGGAACGATTGGTCGGCTGGAAGACGATCAAGGAAGGCAGCGGCGTCATTGGCGAACAACGCATCCGTGTCCCTGTCTTTGAACCCGTTCCTTGGTCCAGCAACTTACAGCATTCAAGAATTTGCCATGCGCAAAGTTAGTTATCGTTTTTGTTGGCGCCAAAAAAGATGGAAACCAATTTTTTCCCAACATTTTTCTTTATTGTCCCCATCTAATATCTGCCCATTTACACTTTCACCTTAGGATAGATATGACAACATTGCTTTAAGTTGTGTTTTTTTCCCATAAAAAAATGCAAAGAATAATCCTGAAGGTCACCGGAGGAACACCTTACCTCTATGCTCCTGGAAAGCCAAAGCAGCGTGTGCAATTGCAACTTGGCCAAGCTTGGAACGTCAAGAATGGGTGAATGGGTTATAAATTGGTTATAATAAGTTAATATAAGTTATAACGGTTGTTTTAATGGTGAATGTTTTAGAGCCATAGCTAGGCGATAATCTTCTTGCCGAAGCCCAATGATGGGCTTGCCTCCTTCGTGGCCACCTAGGAAGCGGACGCCCTTCAAACGCGTGCAGAGCCTTCACCGCGATGCCCTGCGGAACAAGCGTTCGGTGTTGCGGGACCGAAGCGACCGAAGCGCTGGAAGGGTTTAGTAACAGGGGCAAGTAACTGGGTTTAATAAGTGAATGGTTGGTTTTTTGGGGATTTTTTGTGCCCATCAAAAACAGCGATGAATGTCGGTGGTATATACCATGAATTATATACGGCTTCGCCATTTTGATCGGAAAAGGAAGGGGAACTAAATGTGCTTTTGTTTACAGGCT